GCTCAGGGCCCGGCGTAGGCGCCCCAAAAGACGAGTAGTGCTGAATGAAAGGGACGTCAACGAGGTGGTCGACCATCACCACCGGCTTCTCGTCGGCCACCGCGGAGAAGAGCGGGCTGAGGCTATGGGATGGCTTAGCGCCCATGTGAGAGCTGAGGTTGTCAAGCGTCGGGGAGTAGCTATTGGTAAGGTTGTTTTGCATCTCCAATTGGTGCTCGCGGCGACGCCGACGGCGCTCACGCTTGGTTTCCTCGGTATCCGCATACTTCGCTAACAGCGCGGCGGAGCCCGGGAAGTAGGTGTTGTTGCCGTGGAGCTTGTTGAGAGCGTTCTTGGCATCCTCGACGCTTTCGTACTCAGCGTAGACTACCCACACAGGGCTGCCGTAGTGGTCTTCGCGCATGGCGAAGTAGGTCAGGTTGCCAAACGTGTTCAGAAAGGTCTCAACCTCCGTCTGCGAGAGCCGCAGTGGGATGTTTCGAATATAAAGAGCATTGCTTACCTCCTTCGCAACCTTGCCATCATGCTTGGAAGGGAATATGCACAGGTTAAAACTTTGCCCGAACAGGGTGACGTGAGTTTTGTTGAGCTCGCGGAAGGCCAACTCACCCTCCTCCTCGGAGTCGAAAAGAACAAATCCGAAGCCCTTGCTCTTACCAGTGGCTGCGTCGAGCATCACTTTGGCACTTTTGGGATTGTACGATTTAAATAGATTTTCAAGCTCGGCATCGGTAACGGTGCGTGGAAGCTTAGCTACAAACAGATTTTGAAGACTCGTCATTTTTGATTATCGATCGCTTGAAAGACCGAGAAGGTATATCTTTATAGCTTAACTTTTTGGTGTGTGAAAGAGACTAGACAATAATTTTTTTTGTGATAAGAAAAATATTAGCAAGCGTTATACTCTTCAAACTAATGTTTTTTTCCCATGCAGTGTGCAAACAAGAAAAAAAGGAAGGGCTTATTATTTATTTGATGAAAAAATGTAAAGAGCTTTCTATAAAAAAAATTCTTAGGTGAAAAAGAATCATACTTAAGTAGAATTTAATTCATAGATAAGTTTATCCATCCTCATAGCCCCGCTTCGCCCAACAGAAATTTAGAATAGAGTAGCATATGTTAAGTCCGTTAAATATCTAATGAGTTAGAGAATGTAGCTAGAAAAAAATTATGCTGATACGTTGTTATTTTTATTGATGGAGACGTAAAGAAAATTCCACTAAATAGTATGCACAACACTTTTGGGATTACTTTGATTTATAGATATTTTTTTTCCATCATTTTCCCAACGTACTAATACATATGACACACATTGCATATATTAATTTAAATTAAGTTTTAGAATATTATCTTTTGGAAAAGATGTTAAAGTGCTTAGTTCAAAGTAGCCTGGTTACACTTCACTGAAATTTTGAACACACATACGCCAGAAGGATAAAAAATTGGTGAGAAATATCACTATACTCTCCGTCGGACTATATAATTCTTTACATGATTTCATAAATGTTTGAGTAAAATATCGCTTCTTTTTTTATTCCTTTAGTCTGCTATCCAAAAGTGTACACAACCCTTTATATTACTAGCACACCTACCCTTATCTCCATAAATACCCATTTCACACCCTTTTTAAACAATTATTTGATTCTGATAAACTCAGGTTCGAAGCACGAACCTGATAACGGTGCTCTATGTACGTAAAGGCCACGAACACCAAAGATAACGTGAAGCAAAATGTCAAAACAGAATGAGGAGAAAAATACAATAAAATAATAAGATGAGGTAGAATTTTTTTTTGTCCGTACTTATGAACCATGTAAGCTATAACTCAAGCAAAGATGAAAATTGCTTCTTTTTGTCCCAAAAGGAATGTTTAAATATTAAAATTCATGTACAGCAACAGCAGTGTAAAATAGTTTATCCCCTGAAAAGGTAGCATAAAGAAATGTGAAAATGAGGAACAGAGTCGCAGCAACAGAATAGCTTAATGGAATTTAAAAAAAACCTTTAATATTTAAAAAATTATTTTTTGTAAATGGATAGAGAACATTATTTTCCACTTTTCTCTTTTGTAAATTAGAAATGAAACCTCTTTTTTTCGTAATTAAATTTAAATAAGCTATAAATTCTACGTTGAATATCTAGAATGCTGTACGTATGCGTATATGTATATAACTTAATAAAATACTTTAACTCATTTCGTTTTCCAACTTGAAAAAAAGAGTGAACCTTAATGAGCTCAGCGCTTTGTTAAGAACACAAATATATGACTGGGTGTCAAATAATATTGTAAATGTAAGTCTTGAAATCATAAAGTGACTCTGAGAGGGAAAAAATATATAAAACCATAGTATAATCTAGGTAATATCAATGTCTATATATATATATATATATATATATATATATATCTATACATATAGATAGTGATATTGATATTGATATATATATATATATATATATTTAAGCGAATAATTAGTAACAACGTTATTGATGGACTTTGATAAATGCTACACATAGACGAAAATCACACCGCAAGGGGGAAGGCATGCACAATATCCATTAATTTTTGAAAAACCCAACAGATATGGATTAATTTCATTAAGGCCAAATGTACATCTTTGCACCTTGTAATTTGTTTTGGCAGCTAGATTTAGACGGTTTAGATAGTTTTTGAATATTTAATTAAGAGAGATTCCTCAGTGTAAATTTCTTGGAGTGTTTTCCTTTACTCGCAAAGCGTATAAAGCTTGCTGCACGTACCGAAAATGGATACTTCAAAAAAAAGAGGAAATACATCAAGAAATATATCCATCAGACTATAACAGCTCTCAAAAATTGCTTATTTTTCAATTAGATTGAAACGAAGGCGAAGGGGTTCTTCTGGAGGCTTACGGCGATAAGCTTCACCAAACCGTAAAGTGACAGAACTCGAGGCAAAAAAAAATAATTGCAAAAGACTATCATTCTCTAAAAGTTTCAAAAATTACATGGATGTGCAACTAGTGTGCACCAAACTTCATTAGTCGTTTATATTTTCAAAGGACCATTTGAATGACTGAAGCAAAAAAACAATTACCCTTTTGTGTGTCTATCAGAAGTACTAAGTGTCCACAACCGTATTAATTCTTGAATGTTAATCAAACACAAACGCAAAAAAAAAATGATAACTAAAATTAATACAAAAAGCGCTTCGGCAAGTAAACAAGTAAAGAAAGAGTTCATTCAAAAAAATTAAAGAAATACTACAAAAATACGAAATTTCGCATGAAATCACACTAAAGCAATAATTAGTGATAATAACAAACTAGATTCATAACTCACGACAAGATACTAAAGTTACGCAAAGTAAAGAAAAAACGCCATACCGATTTAGTAAAATAGACACATGACCTGATAGATTAACAATTTATTAAATACTTAAACGACTGAACAAAATGAAAAAAAAAAACAATTTCTGGTTAAAAATGATTCCCAATAATAATAAAAATGAGGAAAAGTAGAAGTTCTCAAGAAAAGAAAGAGAGGCATAACCTTTTTAGTCACGGTTATTGATGTGAAGGTGTGTTTAGGAAATCAAATTTTATTTCCTACTTTATAGCTTTTTTTGTCAGAAATTCTAGACTAAATAAAACACGCCTCCTAAAAGCTTTAAGATCGGAATAATTTGTATAAATAATAAAACGTATAAAAACATATATGTGAATTTTTT